TATTTGATTTTCATATTTTGAAGTACTTCCCTTTAATTATTGATGCACGTTTCACCAACCTCCGATTATTGATGAAAACCTAAAATCCTTTGGAACATTTCTCTCTAAATTTTAAAAAAGAGTTTCTTCTTCTTCTTCAACAATATTTGCTTACTCATTGTTCAACTTATAATTTTTTTTATATACTTAAATCTTTACGATAAAGATATTGTGATTTACAAGGGGAAAATTTTCTCCTTTTTGATATTGATGAAAACTTGTTTGACATCTCGTCAATAAAAACTCCTCCGTCAATTATTTTTTTTCATCTCTCATTGCTCTTTTTTGTTTCACGACTAGTAAAAAATTAATTAATTCTACAACAGTAATTTTTGAGAGATCCTTAAAATCTGCAAGTGATGAAATTTTTGACTCAAATTTTTTCGATAAACTCACAAGAATTTTTTCAATAATTTTACTGTCGAAAAACTTTTCACCAAATAATATAATTTTCTTAACAATTGTCGTGAGCTTGTTAACATATTCCTTGATTCCTTCTGATTCTTTCATCATTTGAATCTCAAATTCTCTCTTAAGATTCAAAACTTGTATCAACCTGGTTTGGTCATTGCTTAAATACTCAATCTTAAGCAAATTTCATATCTCTTTTGAAGTTTCATAAGTCATGATACTAGTGAAAATCACTTCAGAAACTAAAGAGTACAAGTAAGTTTTTGTTTTGTACTTCTTGAATTTTTCTTCTTTATGACTTTTTAGTTGAGCTGCAGTCGGATGAAATGGCAACGGTAAGAGTTCACCATCATTTTCAACCACATCGCACAAATCAAAAAATTGTAAATATATTAGCACTTTCGCAGCCCATAGTTGATAATTTTTCCCTATGAAAATGAGATGTGAAATCAATAGAAAAGTGTTTGAGACCATATTTAGTGTAGAGAATTCACTTATTTTCTCTTTCTATATATTGTTTCCTCATAAACTCATGATTAAGAAAGATTCTGATACTACTTGCTGAGATTTTTCTAAAATAAAAAAAAAATCTAAACTTTTATTAACTTCACTTACTCCAAAATTAATAATTTAAAGTGCATTTAAATACATTTACTTCAAATTTAAATTTTTTAAAAATAATCGGATACTATTTAAGAGATAAATATAAATCAAATTTATTAAAAAATAAATTCAAACTAATAACATGATTTTTCTAAAAATAAATATGTTTAAATCTAATTAAAAATAAATTTTATTTAAATTCGAACTAATAAATAAAATAAATTATAATTTATACATTAATTTTCAACATAAGCAACATGCTTGTTTCTTAACTTTCCAAGAAACAAAATTTTGCAACTTTATCAGCAGCTAAAGTCGAAAACTAGCTGGCAAAACTTGTTGTGTTCAAGTCCTATAGATAAAGCAACAACTTTTGAGACTTTTGAATTAAAATTGAAAGTTCCTATTAAATTTAATAATACTAGTGTTATTAACTTAAGTAAAAATCTCATTTAATATTTTAGAACTAAATATATTTAGATAAGATATCGTTTTGTTAGGAATGATGAACAAAATGAGAATGGAAGACTTGAATTATTCATGTAAAATTTAAATTCACTGAAATTTTCACTAAGGCTCGCAGTATGGACAAATTCTCTATGATTCGAGAAGACTTCCTTGTGCAATCCTTATTAGTAACTTAAAGAACAATAATTGATTAAAGATTTGCCCGACCTATTACAAACTATAATATAGATTCTTCTTCCAGCATCAAAGTCATATAGATCTTATCCAAAATTTTCTTAACCATTAAGCATGATAACTAACATTATACACATTAATGAAGTGGTGGTCGAGTCATTCGGGATCGAACTAAATAACAACACACTTCATAATTGGAGAACTAAACGGTATTTGTGCTTGAATTAAAGCAGTTTCTACTTCTATACAAAGTGGTAGTTTTAATTTGCAGAGCAACATGAGATTTGCATATTCTTTGTTGGGGTGGAGGGTAGTAGGAAAGATATTACAAAATGAAGCAGAGAATTACTGCTTTGCACCACTTTGGGCGGTCAAAATCACAAGTGCTACAATAACAGGAGCTGACACCAAAAACAAAGCTAGAAAGATGTTGGGTCTGGCAATTTCTGGGAAAAATATGCTTCCATACTTTATTACAGCTGCACCCACAATAGACCCACCTCCTACTTTCAACACAAACTTCAAATCTTCCTGTTTAAACCGCACCCATCATTCTAATTATCACATTCTTTTTATTCAAACACATGCATTGTTCAATTCTAATTACAAATCAATTCTATATTCAGTTCAAGTTCAGTTATTTTGTTTGTGTTATTGACACTTTGAGAGCAATTGGTTCAGTTGTGCTAACTAATTTTACATATTAATTAATTGAATAATTAATATTTAATATTGTGCTCGATTCAAATATTATTATATTCACCTTATTTGACATGTTGAAATCAATAAGGATTTAAGCATTTATGCATAATTGAATTGATTATAATCACCCATATTTTTTTATGCACATTTGTATTCCTATTATCAAGAAAAGAAACACAGACTGAATCTAAAATTAAGTTTAGAATTGAAAAAAAAAACAAAAACAAAATTTTATCTAATTTGTAGTATATTTTCGTTCTTGTTCCTATTTTATACAAATAATTTTTGAACTAAACTTGACCTAGATTGAAAATACAACCAGATTGCCCCCAACCATCAATTTTCAGCGCATCCATTTTCTGTAGATTAAATACCACAACCACTATTCATCACAACAATCCGCAAAAATGACACAAAATCCAAACAAAAGCGTATATGCGGTAGGGATTGAACTGACCTGAAACTCAGTCTCATCCATGGTTGAACTGGATTCTTCCGGTTGAGAATCAGAGGCTCGAATCTGGAATACTGTTTGTATCCTCGTCGCCGACGAGCGATTTGGCGTCAGGAATCTGAATCTCGTGCTGCTCATTGGCATTTTCACGGGCTTCAGGTATTGGCAACGGGAGTGGAGGTTCCAGACATTTGCTGCCATAACTGAAGCTGAAGATGCCATCTTCCTTTAATGTTCAGCTCAAGCAAGACGCCGTTTTGAGGATAAATAGGTGTATTT